AGCAGAGGCATGTACCCAGGGTGTGGGTTCGATCCCCAGTGGGAGGCATGCAGGAGGCAGCCAATCAATGATTCTCTCTCATCATTGATGTTTCTATCTCTCTCTCCCTCTCCCTTTCTCTCTGAAATCAATAAAAATATATATTTTTTAAAAAGGCAGATTAGCAGAGTGAATGAAAAAAATCATGGCCTAATTACATGCATGGTCAATGAAATTCACCTTATATATAACAATTTAGGTATTTTAAAATCAAACATAAAAAAGATATACCATGCAAGAAAAATCAAAAGAAAGCAAAAGTGGCTATATTAATATCAAATAAAGGATTCAGAGCAATTTAGCAGATACAAAGAGGAACCTTATAAAATGATAAAAGGACCAATATACCAAGCAGACATAGCAATCCTAAATGTGTATGCACCAAACTAAAGAACTATACATGAAACAAAACTAATAGAATTAGGAGAAATTCCATAAAAATATAGTTGGTGAGTCTAGCAACCCTTCTCTCAATAATTGATAAAACTAAACAATAAAATCAGCAATGATGCAGAACTCAAGCACACCATCAACAATCTGAATCTAATCAACATTTATAGAATACTCCATCCAACAATAGCAAACGATCATATTCTTTCCAAGAGTTCACAGAACATTGACCAAAAAACAGATCGTAGTCTAGGCCACAAAACAAATAACAACAAACATACAAGAATTGGAATTATACTGAATTGAAATTATCCTAATCAAATTAGAAATCAGTAACAGAAAAATTTCCCAAAAACTTGGATACTAAACAACATAAAAAAGATAAGTATCACATGATCTCACTCCTATGTGGAATCTAATGAACCAAATAAACTGATGATCAAAGAGAGACCCAGAGACAGAGGAGCATGAACAGACTGTTGAACCTCAGAGGGAAGGCAGGGGAGGGAGGGTGGGAAGAGATCAACTAATGAACTTGTATGCATATATGCATAACCCATGGACATAGACAGTGAGGTGGTGAGGGCCTGGGGGGAGGGGGAGGACCAGAGTGGGCTGGAAGAGGTTAATGGGGGAAACAGGGGGGCCTATGTAATACTTTCAACAATAAAGATTTAACAATAAAATAAAATACTTAACATTTCATTTTATCTTCAAGATAAAATTTTAAAACTATAGGGATGTTCTATGGGTTATCACAATGGGATGCTGACATCTCTACCACAGAGCATATACCCAGATAGCTGGGTTTTAGGAAAGTCAGTTGTCATCATGACCTCTCACTGGACCAAGCCCGAGTCCTCCTTCCCGGGCTCAGATCCTTCCTCCTGTTTCCTGCACCCTTCTCACCTCTTGTTGCCACTCAAAGGCAGGCAACTAAGACGTCACCTACAAGTCAGAAAGCCTGCTTCTGGCCTCAGACTGCTGTATCCAAGTTGCACAATTTACTTCTTGGTCCCAGTTTCTTCCATGCAGGAAGAGAGTGAGAGTAACACCATTCTCGGCCCACTGGAGGTTTCTGTAAGCATCTTGAGGCCTGGGCCTGTGTGCACCCTTCTCATCTTACACTCTTAGATTAGGACAGTGCCCGGAATAGAGTGGGTGCACAAATATCTGTAAGTAAGTGGATATCTGCTTTTCTTCCTTTCCCTGTTCTAATACCTTATTTCATCCTCGTATTCCTGTTGGTTCTTGAATTTAAAAATTTATTTGCAGCAATTAGGTGATACCAAAATTCTTAGGAAAAAATTTATGAAAACTTATGTTGGGTCCAACACATTCACATTCCATTGCTCTGCTGCTGTCAATGGGCCTCCACTCTCCCTCTTCCGAAAGGCTCTGCCTGCGATGTCTATTTTTTCCTATTTCTTTCCACATCCTAAATAGCCATTCCCAAGTATTACAGGGAGTACCTTTCTCCTCCACCATCCTCTGCCTTCCCTTGCAGCCAGATTTCTTCCTCCTATTCCAGGAAATGGTCACAGGAAATGGTTACATGTGCCTCACAAATCTCTGAGACACATTCTATAACCCTCAACTAAGTAGGAGAGTGTCAAGAAGGGCATTTAAATGTCCCAAGATATTGCAGGGAATGGTGAAGAACAAGTACTCAGATCATTACTTTCAATCTTCCCAAAGGCTTAGCCAGACTTAAAAAGACAAACAAAACCTACACTAAACTTGGGAAATATTTTTAATATAACATGCTTTGATTCCCAAAATCACCACCTGACAAACTAGATGTTGCCAGAGTCCCACTGAATCTCTCCATCCCCGTAATCAATATCTTGTTTAAATATGTTGGGTTCTTGCTAAAAAAGAATCAAGTGTAACTTTTAAAAGAAAAAATAAAATCTTTGTTATTACAGTAAATGTTCCAAAATAATTTAAACTAGAGTCCCGGTGCACGAATTCGTGCACTAGTGGGGTCCCTCAGCCTGGCCTGCGGGATTGGGCCAAAACCAGCTCTCCGACATCCCCCAAGGGGTCCCAGATTGTGTGAGGGCACAGGCCAGGCCGAGGGTCCCCACCACCCACCAGTGCACAATTGGGGCTGGGGAGGGACGTGGGAGGTTGACCAGCTGGGGAGGGACCACAGGAGGGATCCAGGGTGTGTCCAGTACATCTCACTCAGTCCCGATCGGCCGGACCCCAGCAACAAGCTAACCTACCAGTCGGAGCATTTGCTCCTTGGTGGTCAGTGCACATCAGAGTGACTGGTCGACCAGTTGACTGTCTGCCCCCTGGTGGTCAGTGCACGTCATAGCGAGCAGTTAAGTGGCCTTAGCATATCATTAGCATATTATGCTTTGATTGGTTGAACGGATGACTGGATGACTGGACACTTAGCATATTAGGCTTTTATTATATAGGATGAATCCATCAAAGTCCAAAGAACATAAAAATCAGGGAATAAACTCAATATTTAATATTAATATTTAATAGTTAACATTAAAGTGATTAAATATATGTAACTATTCCTTTAAATAAATGTAACTACTTTCTCACTAACTCCTAGGTAAATTTTTAAATTCTATCTTTTAAAGCAGCGGTTCTCAACCTGTGGGTTGTGACCCCTTTGGCGGTCAAACAACCCTTTCACAGAGTTCGCCTAAGTCCATCCTGCATATCAGATATTTACATTATGATTCATAAGAGTAGCAACATTACAGTTATGAAGTGGCAATGAAAATAATTTTATGGTTGGGTCACAACATGAGGAACTGTATTTAAAGGGCCAGAAGGTTAAGAACCACTGTTTTAATGGAACTTTAACACTATCTTCACCTATTTCTTTAAACATATTCTGTGTTCCTGCCAAAATCATGTCCTTACTTTGCCCAACTCTATATATGTATCTCCCATTTCAATCTGCAACCCCTCTCAGTTCTTCAGGCTCCTCAGTGTGCTTTTGGGGGAAGGAACCCTGGACTGAAAGTCAGCAGTCTGAAGTTAATAGTACTATTTCAGCCACTGGTTAATTAGGAGACTTTACTATGCCATTTAATCTCCCTTATCTATAAAACAAAGGTATTCAGCCAGGTGATTCCTATAATAAAGGATAACAAGGAAGCATAAAGTCTGGGTTTGTTAGGTGCATTAGGCTGAAAATCTGACCTTCACTTCCCTCAAGATCACAGTAAAACTATCTCAGGAATATATTCAGGAATGTCTTGGAGTGTTCTGCACCATTTACTTTTGTCTGGTGAGCAGGCCTGCAAGTAATCAATCGCGTTTCCAGAAGAGTGAAGCTGAGGAGCCAGAGATGGTATAAACTCCCAGGAAGATGGGACTTCACACTTAATGAAGCCACACTCCACTTAGTGACAATGTTAGAAGAGCGTTGGGCCTGAGAAGATCCTGGAGAAACCTAGAAGGCCCAACGCTCCATCTAGAACAAGAGGCACGGTCTTTCATTTTGCAATTGTTTCTAAACAAATAAATTTCCACATCCTTTGACTTTAAAGAAATATTCCATCACCACTGTCTTTAATGAGCACTTGTTAATAGCAGAGTCCCCTTATTTGGTATTTCCTTCCCCAAATCTTCACTCTATTTCAAAAGTCAATTGATGGGAGAGGCTCACCAAACTTACGTTGAATAAATTAATTATCAGCATTATATTTATACAGAGCACACAAAATTTGTTAATTAGATGAAAAGAAATAACTTACAAACTTTAAAGGTCTACATCTAAGTTTTAAAAACTGGATTGCTGATTATTAACCATTATAGGTTCTTGTTCATTTGTGCTACTAGGATTCCACTGCCAAAATAAGACAAAAGAAGAGTCAAGGCTGGGTAATTAGGCATTCTCTTAACAAGAAGTAGCTACTTGTAGCATATGCCATAGGATAAGGATTGTGGCCATCTGATGACTCTCTGGCTCAGACACAACCTGAACTAAGTTTAGAAAAACTCAGGTTAAATTATGGTCAGTGTATTCTAGCACTAACTATGTTTTGAGATGTAACCTTGAAAAACAACAACGAAGGAAAAACTGCATGGTTATTTTCTACTGTTTAAAACAAACCATTCCCTAACCATGTCTAAAACATAACCTTTACTGCATTTATAGTTCCTAACAGCCTCAACATTTGAGAAATTCTAATAATAAAATCTATTTGAAAAATTTCAACAAAAAAAGAATACATGGCATCATATATTTTCAGAGTCATTTGCTGCTAGAAGGAAGGCTGCATTTTGGACTTCTGTTTCTTTAAGGGTATGGGGAACTAATACTCTCATAAATATAGGCAATAAGAGAAGACTAGACACTCAAATAAAATGGGTTACAATGTGCAGAATGGAAAAGCTATTAAATGCACATTCACTTATGTAAGACACACAAGAAAAGCTTTAGAAAGCACATATACACCTAAGAGACAAGAAAAAGACAACTTAAAAAAAATTAACAGCCATGGCCGATTCAAAATTTTTAGAGATTAGAGTAAAAATGGTGGAACAAAACAGCAAAACAGTAAATGACAAGAAAGGGGTTAATTACTTACAGGAATTCTTCTCCAGGATGTTTGGGTATATTTATCGGCATATGTGCATTTTTCCTCTTTAGATTTTTGGTGGCAGTTACACCGAGTTGCCTGGACAAAAACACAATTTTTTATAGTGGTATAATTTTTCATACACCTATACATGGACAAACAAAGTAATTAGGGTCTCTCTTAGGGGGTAAATAGCCTCCTGTCTTATTCAGAGATTGGGTCCTAGAGTCAGCTTACAATTTTGAATAGTTAAAATTACCTTTGGAAATCTCCTTTATTATCCATAAAACATACTACCTATGACTTTATACATATCGATGCAGTACTATATATATAGATGTAGAATATATATAACAATACATAGCATCTAAAGAATACAATTGTAAGATTTTAAGTATTTCCCTAAACTATGATGCTACTACAATAACTGCAGCACAATTTCTTAAGTTCATTTTTTATTGGACTCTACTGGATATTAAATACCCCAGCCCACAAGTAATTGTCTTTTCACATGTCCAGTGCTTTAAGCTCCTTTAATGATGTGCTGACTTTATTGGACTGGAAAACTTTGAAGGATCTCTGTCCTTTGACAAGATCTATCTGGGCATCTCAGTTCACAAATGAATTCTCTACACATGATTCTACTCAAAGCATACACATTTAGTCACTTACACAACACAAAGTAATGTATCTATTGTATAAACTTTGGTCTTTCAAATAATATCAAAATTTTTTACAAATAAAAAGAATGATAATGAGAATTTTTCTTCAGTGGGAAGTTGAATATAACCTTATTATTTGTTAAATAACTCCAATAGAGGTAAATATACTTTCTTGTAGGGATACTTATATAACAAATTCTTGACTATTGCATCAAGCTAAAATTACAAGTTTCTACTTTAAAAATAATTACCAATATTCAAAATTTATCTTAATTGCAATTGGATCATTCCAATTTCCACTTACAAAATAAAATCTAATTAAAACAAAAAAAATCTGTAAGTAGTGACATTTTCCATTTCTTGTAGTACAGACATATTTCCAATTCCTAAGAAATGAGACAGTCATTGAAACAAAATTCAATATATAATTGACTATTGAACAATGTGGGGTTTAGGTGTGTCAACCTCCTGTGCAGTTGAAAATCTGCATATAACTTTTGACTCCCCCAAAGGTTTACTTATAGCCTTCTGTTGACCAGAGCCATAACAACATAAACAGTTGATTAACACATATTTTATATGTTATATGTATTATATATTGTATTCTTTTTTAAAAAAAACTTTATTTACACATGTCCCCTTTTTCCCCATTGACCTCTTCTAGCCCACCGCCACCCCCACCAGGCCTTCACCGCACTGTTGTCTGTGTCCATGGGTTATGCATATAAGCATACAAGTCTTTGGTTGATCTCAGATGAGTGGATATATACTGTATTCTTATAATAAAGCTCCAGAAAAGAAAACATTATTAAGAAAATCATAAGGAAAATACACTTATAATACTGTATGAATTTACTGGAAAAAAAACACACAAAAAAAACTGTGTATAAGTGGACCCACACAGTTCAATCCCATGCTGTTCTATTCAAGAGTCGATTGAAGAGTCTCTAGGTATTCACTGCAATAGGACTTTTCACATATATAGGAGATGTATAAAGAAGGAAAGATAATATAAAGCATTCATCTTAAGGCAAGCATATGACTTATTCTCTCTTGACTAGTGCGATTCTGGAAATAAGTTCCTCTCTGTGTCTGTGTGCTATCAGACAAAGAGTAAGATTTGGCAAGTATTTGAGTTTTCCATAATTCGGAAAACCTAGTTTTTAGTGATATGCTTTTCATTTCCAACAAAGATTTTCCTTGGCCTGTTGGTATTTTTAAGCCATTATGTTCTTGTTATCCTGGCCTTTTATATTATTAGAAACTAAATTATATTTAACTTCGAGACAGTGTATATATTGTTTTCATATGGAACTATATCTGAATCTGTAACCACTATACAATTATAAAGAGTCTACTCAGCATCATCCATGGAGGAGAACCATTTTCTTAGAACACTCTTCACGGTCTCTAATAGACAGCTGTACTGGTACCACAGTCTGATAATCCAGTTTCCTTCTGCTATCAGAGGAGAGAAAACACCTTGTTCTCAGCTCACCAGTACTCACGTCTTTAAAATCACATTAAGAAAAGACATTTACCCTTTATCAATAAAATGATTGTAAATTGGTGAATTTAAAAACCCCAAAACATAAGGCCACTGAAAATGAATGGACAAAGATTTTCTTTTTACCTTGAATATTTACTATTTAGACTGTAAGTTAAACCACATACTTTTAGAGTGCACATAATCTAAAAATAATATAATAGTGCAACTTTGTAAGCCAAAAATAAAGTCAAATTTAAATTCTGGCTATAATTTTATATTGCTCAGTTTAAAAAGTCTTCACTTCACATACTATACTATAATACTTACAAGCTGATGTTCTAATAGTTGGATTTTTTCATCTTTTTTCTTTATTTCCTCTTTAAGTTGTTTTATTTCATTTAATAAATCTTCATTCTGAAACATTACAAAAAATTTAACATGAAGTATTTAATGACATTTAAAATACTCTAATGAGAAACATTAAATCAATGATGAAGACTGAGCAATGAATGATTCATTCATTCAAGGTAAATATTCCTCTTAAATATTCCAGCTATTAGCCTATAAAAGGAACACAAAAAACAACAACAAAAAACACATTTTAGTGTTCAATGAATTCATAGTCTAATGGAATTTGACGTGTAAACAATGAACAATAGCAGCAACAGCTAACGTTCATTGAGTACTCAACAGGTGCCAAGAACTAAGTACTTTTAGGTATCAAAGCATTTTATCCTGACTACAACCCTGAGATAGGTACTATTATCCCCATTTTACAGATTAAAAAACTGGGATACAGGCTGTATAGTACAACAAGTTACACACAAAGCAGTAACTCCAGCTAAATTTCAAGGGATGTATAAGATGTGCCTGTCACTGAAAACGAAGGGCACAACAAGCAGAGGGAACAGTATAATTAAAGGAAGAGTTATTTCATGGCTGGTTCCAAAATCAGCAGAGCCCTGGCTGGTGTGGCTGTTGGCTGGGCGTAAGCCTGTGCACCAAAAGGTTGCCAGTTCGATTACTGATCAGGGCACATGCCCAACATGCAGGTTCGGTCCCAGGTAGGGGGTGTGCAGGAGGCAGCCGATTAATATTTCACTCTCACATGGATGTTTCTCTTTCTCTCTTCTTCTCCCTTATCTTTTCTCTAAAAATAATAAAACATCTTAAAAAAGATTATTTTTTGAGAAGCCACTTTTCTGAAAACTGCTTGAATCGACTTAATCTATAAGAAATTCCTAATAGTATTAAATGGAAATTTATTGTCAAGTTAAGCCAGAATTCTGTTATATTTTTAAATATAAAGTATCATTACCCTATAGCTAGCCTATTTTGTTTACTACTATTCAATTACCCAGAAATACATACTGAGGAAGTAGTGCAAGCAAGGATATTAGAATATATATATATATACTAGAGGCCCGGTGCACAAAAATTCATGCACTGAGGGGGGGGGGGGGGCGGGCGGTGTCTGTTAGTCTGGCCTGCGCCCTCTCATAGTTCAGGACCCCTCGGGGGATGTCCACCTGCTGGCTTAGGCCCAATTCGGGCCTAAGCTGGCAGTCAGACATCCCTCTGGCAGCCTAGGAGTCCTCGGGGGATGTCTGACTGACAGCTTGGGCCCGCTCCCCGCTTACGCCACAGTCAGACATCCTTAGTGCTGCCACCAAGGAGGTGGGAGGCTCCTCCACCGCCGCTGCACTCCCAGCCATCTACCTGGCTTGTGGCTGAGTGGAGCTCCCACTGTGGGAGCACACTGACCACCAGGGGGCAGCTCCTGCATTGAGTGTCTGCCTCCTGGTGGTCAGTGCGTGTCATAGCACTGGTTTTTCAACTGTTAGGGTCAATTTGCATATTACCCTTTTATTATATAGGATGAATAATACTATCATGTTTCCAGAGAGAAAAACATGTAAGCAAATAATTAGGATGTGTTGTCATCTCCTTCAGATATGTTAGGAACAAAAAGACTTGCAGTTTCTTTAACAAGAGATCAGAAACAGATATTTTACAAAGACTTTCACATAGCAAGTAAGCATTACAATGAGGAAGAAAAGATTTTTAAAAATGCTGCTATGTAGGTAGGAAGCAAGCCGCATAGGAAGTTTTTACCATAATGAAACGTTTGGGTTTGAGTCACATGCAAGGGAATGTTTGGGCAGATTCCAAGCAGAGACATTATTTAACTTGCATTTTTTAAAGGTCACTCTGAGGTCTTTGGCATTCTATGCAGAGAGTAGAAAAGGCTAAGAAAGCAAGCAGAATGACCTGTTATGCAGCTATTTCTGAAATCTACACAAGAAATGTGGTATATGGAGAGGAAAGAATATCTGAGAGATAGCTTTATGAGGTAGAACACATAAGATTTATTAATGGATTGGTTGCAATGTCGGAGGGAAAAGAAAAAATAAGAATGATTTTACATTTTTGGTTTGAACAAGTGAATAGATGGTGGCTCTTTCTACAGAGCTGGGTAAGATAGGAAAATAACAATTTGGGAAGGGGTGTGAAGAGATTAATCAAGAGCTTCCTTGTTCTCTGGCTTTTGTCAATTGAGGAAACTGGAATCTCTAGCATTTGATCTGACAGAGAGAGGAGAGAAAAGTCAGGTGTTTATTCCCTATCACATTTCTTTTTTGTTTGTTTGTTTTTAATCCTCACCAGAGGATTTTATTCCAATGATTTTTAGGGAGAGTGGAAGAGAGAGGGAAAGACAAAGAAAAATATCGATGTGAGAGAAACACATCGATTGGTGACCTCTTGCATGAGTCCTGACCAGGGCAGGGGCCTGGGAGAAGCCTGTAACCAAGGTAAGTGCCCTTGACCGGAATCGAACCGGGACCCTTTGGTCTGCAAGCCAACACTCCATCCACTGAGCCAAACTGGCTAGGGCCCTATCTAAAAAAAATCTTATATAATAAAAGGCTAATACACAAATTGTCCCCTCGGGAGTTCAACAGACTGGGAGTTCGACTGCTTACTATGATGTGCGGTGACCACCAGGGGGCGGCACAGAATCAAGGAAGGCCCCGGCTGGCAGCTGGCAACCAGGGGAAGGAAGGCCCTGATTGGCCCTGATTGCCGGTCAGGCATAGAGACCCTACCTGTGCACAAATTTTGTGTACCCGGCCTCTACTACTACTACTACTACTAATAATAATAATAATAATAATAAAAATAAAATAAAATAAAATGCTGTTATGTATACTGCAATTGGAAAACTCTATTATTATAAAAAAGATTTCCAGTTGAAATTAAAGAGTTTAGGAATTTGAAAAATTCTTAAATCAAGACCAAAAAAAGACAGATTTCAGATCATGAAAGATATGTTTTAAGCTATGTGGCAAATGATGCTATTAAAAATGATGAACATATTTAATTACATGCAATTTTAAAGCATCTATACAATTGCCATCAAAGTTAAAAGCTGGAGAAAACGTAAGCAAACATGACAAAGGGTTTATATCTCAGTATACTAAAAGCCTGTTGAAACACATAAAATCATTTTCTAGGCTCCAAAAGACAAAGAGCCAGTTCTCACAAGCATATGCCACTGGCAAAATGTTCTGTTTAACTTGTTGAAGAATGTAAATTAAAGTATTAAAGATATTAATTTGTAGGTGTTAAATTTGAGAAAAATACCCAATGTGATTAACAAGACTGCAGGAAAATATGACACATTATAAGATACCACAACAGACAAACATATGGCTATCCCAGAGTCATAAAAGTACTCGCAGTCTTTGACTTGGTTATCCCACTTCTAGGAATCATACCAAAGAAAACTTTGAGAAAACTTACAACCAGGTATTATCTGAAAGTTTACAAATGTACATCTGTCCCATAAGGGAACAATTGAAATGCAACTTGATGGAGTACTAGACAGCCATCACTCAGTCAGTGCTAAGTTCTGCCACTGATGGAGGAAAGAGCCCCAAAATGAAATCAAAATATAATTAGTAATAACATTGGTAAGCAACATGTATACAGCACTCATCATATGACAGGCACTGCTCTAAGGAAAAATCCTTTTTACACAGAAAGATAAGCAAAGGAGAATACAACAGGGGATGGGTTAACTCCAGGAGAGTTTTAAAGGATGAGTAAAATGTTCTGAAGACACAGAAGTGTGGCAGGCCTTGGATTTTAGGGTAAGAGATTCTAAGTATTGCAGACAATACAGAGATGAGGACAAGCACAGCACATTTGGAGAACTACAAGTGGTGCCATTGCACAAAAGCTGTGGTAGGAGCAATGTGGTTAATTACTAGGCAATGGCCAGATCAGAGGGCCATGAGTATCAAGTATGGCCTAAGCCAGGGAATGACATATGAATTTGCATTTGAGATGTCTTTGACAGCTGTTTTGAAGACACACTTGACAACATCAACAACAAAACTAGACTAGGGAACTTATAATCAAGATGTAATACTCCAGACAAGTAGGAGCCTGACGCACAATGGTGATAATAGGGGTGAGAAGGGAGAGGAGAAAAATCAAATTAGAAGATTTTGGTGATTCACTGCATGTGAGAGGAGAACACAGAGGAGCAGTCAAGAGTGACATCTGAAGGAGTGACATAGAGGAATGGCGGCTTAATGGCACATCTTTTCCTCTCCTGCTGACATTTCAACAAGTTAACCACCTATAATTCAACAAAGAAATCCTTGCTCAACATTACACGCATGCCTGAGCGACTGTGCACTGAGACAACTAAAGGTGGGCATCCGGGAATAAGTGGAGAGATGAGAAGGACAGCGCAGAGGGCCCTCAGACACAGCCCTGTGGCTGGTGGCTTGGCTGGGAGAGGGGAGGAAGCAGGCAGTAGCAGGTGCTTCCTTGGGTCAGGAAGAACAGAGAGCTGTGGGGGGCAGCCCAGCAGGGCCAGCAGTGGGTGTGTGTGTGTGTGTGTGTGTGTGTGTCTGTGAGAGAGAGAGAGAGAGAGAGAGAGAGAGAGAGAGAGAGAGAGAGAGAGAACAGTGTCTGAATCAGCAGACGCCTGACAAGTAGTGGCAAGTAGGCCCATCACTGTGGGCCAGGGTGGTGGTGTATCAAAGAAAGAAACAGAACTAGAGAGCCCTGCTGCCACTTGGACTCCCAAAACTCACCTCCCATTGCCCTTGGAGTCTGCTCCAGGAGCATATGATCTGTAAACCAAGAGCTATTGCAGTAGAACCGCTGTTTCCCTCTGTGACTGATCCCAGAAGGGTGCTTTGGGCAGGACTGCATGAGGCAGAG